AATACCCAATATTTGTTAAATGTCTCCTTGTTCCCAATACCTAATATATGTTAAATGTCTCCTTGTTCCCAATACCCAATATATGTTAAATGTCTCCTTGTTCCCAATACTCAATATATGTTAAATGTCTCCTTGTTCCCAATACTCAATATATGATAAGTGTCCCCTTCTCATCAATACTCAATATATATTAAATGTCTCCTTGTTCCCAATACTCAATATATGTTAAATGTATTCTTGTTCCCAATACCCAATATATGTTAAATGTCTCCTTGTTCCCAATACTCAATATATGATAAATGTCCCTTCTCATCAATACTCAATATATAAATGTCCCTCCTCATCAATACTCAATATATGATAAATGTCCCCTTCTCGTCAATACTCAGTATATGATAAATGTCCCCTTCTCGTCAATACTCAATATATGATAAATGTCCCCTTCTCGTCAATACTCAATATATGATAAATGTTCCCTTCTCGTCAATACTCAGTATATGATAAATGTCCCCTTCTCGTCAATACTCAATATATGATAAATGTCCCCTTCTCGTCAATACTCAATATATGATAAATGTCCCCTTCTCGTCAATACTCAGTATATACATTACATACCCCATCCCTCCAAAATTGGAAATATACGTTACTTTTACCCCCTTTACATTTTTACTCTCCAAAAAGATTTATCTATAAAACATAACAATGCTATAGTATGTCAGGAACTAAAAACAACAATGCTGCAGTATGTCTGGAACTAAAAACAACAATGTAGTATGTCAGGAACTAAAAACAACAATGTAGTATGTCAGGAACTAAAAACAACAATGCTGCAGTATGTCTGGAACTAAAAACAACAATGTAGTATGTCAGTAACTAAAAACAACAATGCTGCAGTATGTCTGGAACTAAAAACAACAATGTAGTATGTCAGGTGCTAAAAACAACAATGCTGCAGTATGTCTGGAACTAAAAACAACAATGTAGTATGTCAGGAACTAAAAACAATAATGCTGCAGTATGTCAGGAACTAAAAACAACAATGCTGCAGTATGTCAGGAACTAAAAACAACAATGTAGTATGTCAGGAACTAAAAACAACAATGCTGCAGTATGTCAGGAACTAAAAACAACAATGTAGTATGTCAGGAACTAAAAACAACAATGCTGCAGTATGTCAGGA